AGCCGCCAGTGGCCGAGGAGCCACAGCGAGTAGAGAGCGAGTGAGGAGCCTCTGAGTCGCGCAAGTGACTGAGGAGCCTCGGAGCGCCACCAGCGGCCAAGGAGCCTCCGAGTCCCGCAGTGGACGAGGGGGCTCCGAGTGCCGCCAGCGGAAGCCGAGCTTTTGAGTCCTTCCAGCAGCAGCTGCGAAGACTCAAGGGCGGGAGCGGCCATGGAGGAGGCCAGGCATGAGGCGGCAGCTCCAGGAGCCGACAGGAGCTGCCTGATCTGCCTGGGTGCCCTGGAAAGCCCCGCTGCCGTGGAGCCCTGCGGGCACGTCTTCTGCCGTGCCTGCATCCAGGGCCGGGCCGCCGCCGCCGCTGCCACCTGCCCCCTCTGCCGGGAGCCCATCGGGGCCATCCGCCTGCTGCAGGGGCAGGACAACCGTGCTGGGCTGGCCCCACGTCGCCGCCGTCGCCACCTGCATCCCTTCGTGCTGCGCTGGCGGCAGGAGCGGCAGCGGCGGCAGGAGGAGCAGCAGCAGCAGCAGCAGCAGCAGCAGCAGCCGCGGGGTCCTGGAGGTCGCCGTCGCCGGCGATTCTCCGACGGGGATAGGGAGCAGAGTCCCCCCGTGCCCCCGCGCCGTGTGCGGAGGGAATTGGAAGAGGGGCCGCACAGGGCGCGGGAGGAAGAGCTGGCCTCGGGGGACCACGTGCGCCGCCTGCCCTTCATCCCCTTTGAACCGGAGCCTCTGTGGGCCCCGTGAATAAAAACCCCTCCTTATTCCTACATGAGCCTCAGCTGGTTTCTTCTGCGCCTTTGCTCACCGCTGCAGGACTGGGGGAGTGGGAAGGATACGGCTGGGGGAGAGGGCGGGATAGGGCTGAAGAACCGGTAGAGGGGGAGGAATGTAGAGGATGGAACTGGAGGAGAGGGTCATTCCTGGTAGTTCTGGGTTGCTTTGCCCATCCCCATGGGGATGCAGTCCAGAAGAGGAAGATGAAAGGGAAAGCAAAGGGAAAGTTAAAGGCAAAGGGAAAGTTAAATCCCCTGAGGTTACTAGAGCAGATCCCAAAGGGGC